GCTACAGGTGTGTATCGGCGGTCTGAATCTGAAGCGTGTCCTCTGTGCTCTCAGCGGTTCGTTCCAGCGACCCCTTCGTGGAGATCAACCTGGACGAGCCGGTCTGCTGCGACCAGCTGCTCACCAGCCCTGAAGCTCCGTCATCAGTCCTCCCCTTCTCTCCGTTCTCCTTCTCCTCCTCCTCCTAGCATCTCCACCTCCACGCTGGAGCCAAACTGAACCTTCTTGGTGTCAAACTAAACCGTCTGTTCGGTACTTCTTGTTTTTGAAAGGTTGCTTTGATCCACTAATCTTCTCGTGTTCTGTTTTTTACACCAACACACTTTAAAACAACATTTAACTCAAACTGAAGCCATCATGTAGGTACGATGTGTTTGTAATCTGATATCAGAGACAGTACTCTGCTGTAGGAGTAATCTGATTACAGTGGTGTTAGAGTCACTCGGGGCTCTGCTGTTTCCTCACACCAGAAGAATCTCTTCAGTCAGTAAACGATAGTTCCTGTAGAGACTGTTTCTGTTCAAACACTTTCACACGTTTGTAACGTTTCTGTTTAATCTCAGACGCGTTGGCTTTTATCTGCTGTTTTTAGCAGCAGCTCTTCTCCTACTTGTTACTCTTGATAGAAACTGACCAGAAACACATGAATGAACGTCTTAACGCAGCGTTTGGCTCGATTCAGGAAACGACACAAACAGGAGCTTCTGGTCACATGACGGCCCACGCTGATTAAAAACACGATTAATAATGATGATGTCTGCCTGAAAGGAGAAAGCCACGACCTGCTGGTTCACTGTTAGACTGATGTTCAGGCGTTTGTTTCTATGTTTGTGTTGAAATAAATTTGAATTTGGTTTCAAAATAAAACTGAACTTTGTTGATTCTTGTCCTCGTGTTGTCCTCTGCTGTGGTGAAGACCTCTGATACAGACGTGTGTCAGGCTGAGCTGATGAAGACGATCAGAACGTGCAGCAGCTCTTCTCCACCAGGTGGCGCCATCAAACCACTGAACAGGCTGATAGAGAACTCCAGCTGCACTTTCCTCATTCATCAGGAATCATCTCAAACCACCAGACAGGTTGTTCTTCACTCTAAACCTGCTGCAGAACCAACAGTCAGACCAGATCCAACAGCTTCACCGGCCGTCGGACTGGACGTCCCGGTTCTGTTTACCAGCTGTCTGACTGGACGTCCCGGTTCTGTTTACCAGCTGTCTGACTGGACGTCCCGGTTCTGTTTACCAGCTGTCTGACTGGACGTCCCGGTTCTGTTCCACCAGGACATCCAGTCACAGTCTGAATCGTTTGTCATGAAGGATCTTTGTTTTGAGTGAATTATTCTTTCAGTGTTCAACCAGAACATCACACTTTAAACAGTCCATGACCCGGTGCAGGTGAGACTGACCAGAACCAGGCTGAAGCTGTGATTTACGGATCAGTTCGTGTCCCTGAAGCAGACGCTGGTCTGCAGGTTTCATTCATACTCAGACGAACTGTGAGCTGCTGTTTGATGGTTTGTTCTGATCCAGATAATAAACCGTCCTCATGTACACACGAATCTGTTCTGAGCAGAACTCTGAGAGGTTCTGGTCTCAGATCAGATGCTGGGTCCAGTTCTGGAGTAAAAACACCGTTTGGAGGTTCGATGAGAAATAAAATGGACTCACCTGAACCGGGTTCATCAGGGAGGAAGCAGGACCAGAACCAGAACTGTTCTGGATCAGCTCAGTCTGCAGCTGCTTCTGGACCAGAACCTTCATCCAGCTGATTCTGGTTCCCTTTAGCAGACAGCTGGAGCAGGACCGGCCGCTCCAGGTGAGTCTCATGTGTCATGAAGGAGGAGGTTCTGGTTCCTGATTCAGCTCCTGTTTGGAGCGAACATTTCTGTTCTTGTGTTCTGAGCAGAGCCTTCAGCTAGAAGCTCATCAGCCTGCAGCACCTGGAGCTCAGCTCCTCAGGCTTCACCTGGACACAGCGCCACCTGCTGCTGTGGAGGACCCGCTTCTGGCTTCTCAGACGTTCTAAGAGGACGGACTCCTCCCTCCCGGTTCTGACGGTTCTCCTCGACACTTCAGCATCGCTGAACAGAGAGTGGCCACAGCGGAGGTCCAAAGTGCTCGCTGATGGATGATTTATTTATTTTTTGCTGAACAACAAAGTAGAAGAAGTGTGTTTTGAACGATGACACAGATGTGAGTCCACGCATCCAACCAGACGAGTTCAGCTCTACGTGTTGCAGGTCTCACCTTGAAACTGCCTCTCACCTGCTTTCTGTCTTCTCTAGAAAGTTACGGAAAGATCTGAGCATCTCTGTCCAACCTGAGGTGTGTAATGATAGGACTACAAGTACCTGGGCGTCCACATAGGACTACAAGTACCTGGGCGTACCTGGGCGTCCACATTGACAGCAGACTGAACTGGAGGATCAACACCGAGGCTGTATACAAGAAGGGGATGAGCAGACTCTACTTCCTGAGGAAGCTGAGATCCTTCGGCGTGTGCAGCAAGATGTTGAACATTTTCTATCAGTGTGTTGTTGCCAGTGTTCTCTGCTGTAGTCTGCTGGGGAGGCAGCATCGGAGCCGACGACACCAACAGACTGAACAAACTGATCAGGAAGGCTGGCTCCGGTACCGGCTGCAAACCGGACACCATGGAAGCGGTGGTGGAGAGGAGGACTCTGAACAAACTGTTATCTATTCTGGATAACCCCGACCACCCTCTCCACCCCCTTCTGGACAGGCAGCGGAGCTCCTTCTCAAACAGACTGATTCAGCTCCGCTGTACAAGGACCGGTACAGGAAATCATTCCTGCCCAGAGCAGTAACCCTGTATAACAGTTCACCTCTGTCTGGCAGAGAGCGTTCTCAGCTCTCTGCTCTGTAAAACCCTCCTTGCACTGTTTTTCGCAAATTGCACATTTTGTACAGTTGTTTTATTTTATTTTATTTATGTTATTTTATTCACCTATTTTATTTGTAATTTTTAAATAGTACTTTCTGCTGCTGTACCACAGTAATTTACCAGACTGGGATTAATAAAGTATTTTTCTATTCTTCTTCTCTTCTTCCTCCCGCCAGCGGGAAACCGTTCATTCTCTGTCAGTTTGTTTTTGACAAAGCTGAGTGAGATGAATTTTACATTATAAATCTTGTCTTTGTTCCACGTCCATGGAACCTGCACAGTGAAACACTTTCTCTTGTTTTGGTCAAAGAATTAAAACCACACATTTCGACCATTTCTAAAAGCACCAACCCCAAAGCCACGAGCTGCTCTAATGCGTTTTTAACCTGTAATGTCTTTCTTTACCTGTAACTGTGTTCTCCCCCTGGTCTGTTTGTTCTCTTGTTTATTGTTGTTATTTATTTATTTATTTGTCCCAATTCATATCGAATTTGTTCATCAATAACTATTTTGGGAGGACAACATGTATCTTTATACTGTTTTACACTTTATAAATAAAGTTATGTTAAAAAATAATAATTAAAAAAAAAACTTTATAACGTCGCTTACCTGATGTGCGCATGCGCATGTGTGAACTCTCCGTGGCTGAGGCAGCTGCAGACAGCTTCATCTCAGGTGAGTTTTTATAAGTTTTGCAGGAAATCAAAAGTTTTCTGTTGACAAGTCCTCAGTTATTGTGCGCAGCCGCCACTTTGCGGCAGCAGGAGCCGCTGCGCCACTTTGCGGCAGCAGGAGCCGCTGCGCCACTTTGCGGCAGCAGGAGCCACTGCGCCACTTTGCTGTTGGTGTGAAACGACAGAGTCAGACTCAAAGTGAAAGTAAAGCCTCCATCTTGTCACAGCAAACAGCCAAACTGTAGGAGAGCCTCGTTCATGTGGAAACAGGTCAGAACAGAGACCCGAGACTTTGATTTAATCAGATCCAGAACACTGAAGGTTCTGATTGAAGTGAAGCTCTGTGGTTCTGCAGGTTTGGTACTGTTTCAGAACTGTGGCTTGAATCACATGGTCTGTGAGAACAGTTTGGTTTGTCTGAATGTGTTCAGAGCTGCAGAGGACGACTGATGCTGAGGAGGAAGGATGGCGCTGATCCTGATCCTGATCCTGATCCTGATCCTGATCCTGATCCTGATCCTGCTGAGTCTCTGCTGTCTGGGTGAGTCACAGAGCTCCACTCTGAGTCTCTGCTGTCGGTAATAAACGTGTTAATAAGCCCTCAGACTGATGAATGGCAGCCAGTCACTCTCAGCTGTATGAAGGCTGAGGAAACACAAGACACACTTGTGATCCTCTGTCCACGTCTGCATGCTGCCTTCAGGTCAGATGTCCAGTCAGGAACCAAAGTGTGCTTCCACCTGTAGAGACCATGTGCGTCCAGTGACTCCCAGAGCTCTGGATGTTCTCTGAGGGAACCATTGAAACGTGTCACCAAAACGATCACACATAGTGGTTCCGTCACAGATTTATTCTGAACAGATTTCTGCAGTGACAGGGACTCCTGTGTTGTCTTTGTGTCCTGCAGGTCAGACTCAGGACCCCTTGGTGGTGGAGGAGACCGGTAGTGTCACGCTGACGTGGACCTTCCCTGTAAACGCCGGCAAGCATCCTCAGCCGCTGACTGTAGACATCATGCATGTGGACACCCAGAGCTGGATCTACTTCTACAACCGTGCGTTTGAGGACCAGGGGTATCCACATGATCTCTACAGGGGACGACTGCACTGTGATCCACAGCTGGCCTCTGAAGGACGGATCAGCTGTGTTCTGACCCACCTGAGCCTCAGTGATGCAGGAACGTACAAGTGTGTTCTCAGACAGACGGAGTCCAAGTGGTGTCGCCTGACGGTCACAGGTGAGCTGCCTTCACTGTCACATCCAACACGATCACATCAGCAGGTCTCACAGTCGTGGAGTGTTTGCTGAACATTCACAGCCCGGTGACCCGTTCAGACCGTGACTGATGGTTCTACTGTGACAGAGCTTCAGCGTTTAGAAGATGGCTGCTTTGGCAGTTGTCTGTCCAGCTTCCTGTTCATACTGGTGGGAGTTTAAAGCAGTTTTAACGAATTGCATAAACACTGTACATTCATTCCTAGTTGAGCTGCATGTGTTGATGTCGGTTATCTGGGTTTTGAGTCTGGTGTCAGAAGAACCTACATGAAAAACAAACCAGAGGAACAGGACAACGTGCTTCAGTGACTGTGCATTTAAGCTCACTTCAGAAAGTTCCAGCTCTCACGATATGAGATGAGATAAAACCAGATGAAACTATTCATCCTGAGGAACGTTCTGTTCATGTATGTTTATTCATTATTATGTTAATGCACAACACAGCAGTGAAGAGAAACACCAGCTCCAACAAAACCAGGACAGAGAAGTGAAGCTGTGGAGTGCTGCTGAAGACGTGGTGCTGCAGATGATCCTGTTGTTGTGTTCAGTGTCTGACCACTCATGAAAGGAAGTGATTCATAAAACACCACACGGCCCGGTCCAGCGTCCTTCAGAACTTTGTCTCCACGTTGTTCTCTGTGTCTGTCTCATCCTGTGGACCTGAACACTGAGTCTCACCTGTTTCATCTCTTTGCAGAGAGAAGACCTCCTGAGAATGAACGCCTGGAACCAGCGGGCCGCCACAGAACTACGTTTTATGTAGTTCTGGTTCTGTTCCTAGTGGTGACAGCAGCACTTTGTTTTTGCACTTTAAATACATTTTCTACCTCCTCAATCAGAACTGCAGCACCTTCATCTACTGACCAGAGTTCTACCTTCAGACTGTGAATGTTCCAGAGGTCCAGGTCCTTCAAGTCCACAGAGGAGGGTCCAGATTGATCACTTTAATGGACTTTTTCCATCATTTCTGAGCCTCAGAACTTCATCAGAACAGCAGATAGACACATGACATTTAGGAGGAAGAACACATCTGGGTTCTGCTAGAACCTGACACCAGATCAGTTCTACATCCATCCAGGTGTCTCCGTCTGAACTCTAAAGACTTTTTGTAGTGTGTGCCACCTGATGGGCTGAAGACAAACATCTACCTCATGTCAGTGGTCGTACAGCTACGAGGAGGCTAACGTAGCTGCTGCTTCAGCTCAGCTTCTCAAACAGTCGACCTGCACTAACCCTGACTTAAAATGCAGATTTTTACCTCATTTTTTAAACGTTACAGAACTCTGCCGTCTACCTCTGTCTCATGGAGCTGCTGCAGCGGCCAGTTGTTGCTGTGTGACCACATGTGTGTCTGAAATCACACGTCTGCTCTGAGGAGAGTCTCTACAAAGAGATTCTGACCTTTATAATCCACTGTTAGCAGAGCTGTGGTTGGAGTTTAAATGAATGCACTAAGCTAAACTCTTTGGTCCAATACTGCAACAGTGTGCAGCTTGTTATGGACGAACACCTACCTCAGGGTGAGCTCAGTCAGCTGAGCACACTGCTCCTCACAAATTAGCAATAACTGATCACGTTTGTTAATGAATGATATGTGTGATTGTTTTGGTTCTTTTTGGTTTTTGGTTAGTTATTTAAATGTTGTTCCAGACAGTTATACCTCGCTGATGAATCCTCTCCGTGTTCATAGAAGGTTTCTGAGTGACTCCATGTGAAGAGGGTTCTTCAGAGTATTAAGTTTAAATCAACACTACCTCCACTTATGTTCACTTTGTCATGAGTCTAACACACCTTGTGATGTGTTTTACGAAGTTTAATGTCTGAGACAGACTAAAGGAAATGGCCGTCGCTATAGCTCACCTAGCGGACGACCCATGAACAGGCTTTAGTTAGCTGTAGTTAGTTATAGTTCCCTGACGCAGCAGTCGTGGGTTCGACTCCTGCTATATATATATATATATATATATATATATATGTGTATATATGTATATATATAAAAATGTATTAAAAGACAGACTAAAGGAAAAACCTGTGCCACGAGGGGATCTGGTGGTTCTTTTCTGTATGTTACTGGCTTGATTTACCTCTCGTGTCCTGATGGGAGGGTTTCCTCCTGGATCTTATGGTCTGACCTTCTCAGTCTCCAGATCTCAGTCCAGCTGCTGGATGATTAACCGTTCACACACTCCAGCATGTGACGGAGACACTCATGTTGGTTTTCCTTTCATTTGTCGCCCACCTGTACATACATGTATATGTAAACCTATTTCAGGACTCCAACAAAGCATCTTATAATTGTGCTTCAGTTTTACTACCAGCTTGTTCTAACAGTGTACAGAATATTTTACTCTCATACTGCGATAAATACACACGAAATACACAAACAGCATATATATCTGCCAAATCTGTAATCATTTGTAAGGTAAAATAAAAGCCTTTTGTTGAACTTGAACGTGCATTTCTGAGAAACAACACCAGCGTGCATCATGGACGGTGGAAGATGTGTTTTTTTCTACTGAACTTCATTCAAGCATTTGACGCCTTTTTATAAAACTGTCAGTTTACAGTTCTGCACTTCTGAGTCACACAGAACATTGAGGTTTGGAACCCAAACTAAGTTTGAGATAATATCTGTTGTCAGACCTGGACAGTTTTTCTAGTTTCAGCCTAAAAACAAAACAAACAAGAACCTGTGACGCCATTTTTAAGGTTCAGTATCTCCAGAAATAAACGGACAACTTGGTGAGGACACAGACAGAATAGTTTATTGTTTGTAAGTATGAAGTTCAAACTAAATGTTAATTCTGTCACATTTTTTAAACTAACTTATTAAATAATTGTGTTATTTTACATCCTGTTAATGTACAGATAATATCTATTCAACCATAAAAGTACAGTTTTACTGTTTAAATGAGAAAACATACCCAGTTTTCCATCATTTTTCACATAAGTTCTTTGCAGATTTTTTTCTACTTTTGTTTTTTGATCAAACTTGATGTGAAGCTTAGAAAAACAAACCTGATGTTGAGGAGTCGCTCCAGCAGCGTGCTCGCCTCGAATCTGCTGCAGGATGAAGCACAAAGGCCTGAAAACTGAAGAGGAGCTTGTTGCTAACTGACAGCAGCTCTGACTGCGTGGAGGTCTGAACCGCCCTGAACCGGCTGATGACTGACCAGGTTCTGAAGCTCCAGCTGGTTCAGTCCAGCTTCTCCAGCCTGAGTCCCGTAGGCTGGACTTTCTGAGACTCTCAGCATCAGGTCTGAGCTCTTTCGTTTCCTCCAGACACACAGTAGAACTGCTGCCATCGGCACAAAGCTGGTCCAGTCTCCACCGTCTGGGTTTGGACTCGGAGGCTGAGGCCCATCAGCAGCTGTTGGACAGAAGAACGTTTGTTAATCGACATGATGTATGAGATGAACTTGCATCTAAGCAGCAGTTCTTACTAACGCAGGTCGTTCTGTTTGTCCTCAGTGGCGGCTGTCACCACACGTTTGTTCCAGAACCTCAAGCAGAACCAGCGGTTTGTACCAAGTTTGTTCACAGTAAGACTCGTAACAGAACACGCAAATACAGACGGAACAGAGAACCAACAAACTCTTCACGTGGAGCTGAAGAACACCTGAGCAACCAGGAGGCTCCAAGTCTGAGGACGACACCAACAAACGGAGTCAAGGAAGCGCAAGAGAGCGAACTGGACCTCAGGAGGCACCCAGGAACCAGCGAACAACACAGCTGTCAGTGTCCACAGGGTTCTACATCAACATGAGCTGAGAGGCTGATGGAGAAGGAAGTTCTTCCTCCAGAAGCAGAACCTTAAAGCTCCACTGATCACATGGACAAAGAAAAGGCCTTCTGGAGGAA